AGAAATTACTGTTAATTTTGTTACATGTGATAGTGGTAGTGTGGTGATGCTAAAAAGAAGTCCTTATCTGTTAGAGCTATACACTAAAGTATTTATCAGTGAAATATTCTATCTGGGTATTTGCTTTAGAACACCCCAGAAAACAAACAAATGAAAAAGTACAAAGATAGATTGTTAAATGTTAACAGTGTTGATAATCATCAAGGGTGGGGGTTATTTCTACTACTTTACTTTGGTATATGTTTGACATTTTTCATAATAAAAATTAAAAAGGAAGTAATTATTGAACTCATAATACATAAATGACACCACCAACACAGTTCATTAATCACTGAATACCCAACTTTTCTTATTTTAATCGGGAGAACAATAACAGAAACACCTTAGCATGAGTCTATAAGGTCCTACATGTTCTGGCTTATGCCTATTTCCAACCTCACTAATGACTATTGCACCAAGATGGAAAATTATGCTTTGTATTTAATATGTGTTTGCATAAAATAAAACTGCTATTAAGTTTGACTTATTTTATTTTATATATTTTTTTAAATTAAAAGTTTTTAAATAATCTCTATACCCAATGTGGGGCTCGAACTCATGACCCTGTGATCAAGAGTCACATGCTCTTCTGACTTAGCCAGGCACCCCAACTTCTTTTTAAAAATGTTCCTCCCTGTATTCTTATTCCTTGATTCTTTAGTAACCATGTTGTTTATTTCAATTCAACACGTATGTATGGAATGATGCATGAGTTTCTGTTAGGCCCAGGAACAGCAGACAGGGTATGTGATTTTTATATCTATCTATGAAGTATTCACTTATATATAAGTATATATGAAAAATATATGACATATATAACAGAATCGATAGATGCTATATTAGCTGTATGAAAAAAGTCCTATGTGGACCCTGAAAAGAAACATGTAATCGAAAACTTGATCAATAATGTTAGAGGAAGGACAGAATTATCTTTCTATACTCTATATAAAGAATATTACAAAATATGAGGAGGCAATCAAAGAATATGCAGGCAAAACTATAGAAAACAAGTATTATAAAGGTATGTGGGGTATTAATTTATAAAAATACGTTATTTTCCTGGATTTAAGGATGTTTGTTATTTGTCAGCTTCAAAAAATTTGTAGTTATGTTCTCTATTTTCAAATAAACATTCACTTTCATACCTAATTTTCTATTTTTTTTTCTTAATCAGCTCCCCCTCATTATATAAACTTCAGGTGCCACACAACCTGAAACCACGTGGGTGCCTTTAATTTGGTAGGCACTGTTCTGGGAGCTAAGGGTCTGTCAGTGAACAAAATAGAGAGAAAGCCCCTCTCTCTTAAGAAGCTTTACATTCTAGTTGGGAGAGACAGAAAAAACAAAAACATAATAAACAAGGAAATTCAATAGTACGTTAGAAAGTAAGTGCCATAGAAAACAGTTGCAAAGGGTTAGGAGGATGGAGAGTGCAGGGCAAGGAGTGCGGGTGAGCTGGAACTGCAATGTTAAATAAGGTAGTCAGAGTAGGGAAGTCTCATGGAGAAGGTGACTCTGAGCAGACTTGAAGGAACTGGTTATTGAGACTACCAGTGGAATCTAGTGTAGCATATTAGTTTAGTGGTACTCCATTATTCTCTTATTCAGGTCCTGCTTTAGAGTATTTGAAATAAAATAACCCCAAGGACCCAATACCGGTGGGGAAAGCAGTAACAGCTGGATCAGGGTTAAGAACTGAATGGTCGTCTAGGGCACTGCTCATAGAGATTGGTACTAAAGAACATAGGGACACTACAACATCACTGAAAAATAAGGAAAAAGGGGAATATGATATTTACCAGGACATCTTTGGTAGTGGGGGGTGAGACCTCCAAGGGGCATGGCACTGAAGGAGATCTGGTCTGATGAACTATCAGGTTTGTACTGCTGAGTAGGGCGAAGCAATAGGGAATCACATCTGAAACGCGTGGGCGACAGGACTGCTTTGCTGTCACTAGCAGTGACAATGGCGCTTTCCCACCCTTCCCGCCCCGTAGCATTCAATCCTGCCGCCAAACAGAAATCAGGAAGACAGCTAAATATGTAAGCTTAAAGTATACGTTGTCGGCCTGCCCTAGAAATAATAACTATGGGAATGAGACTATAATTGTGAATATTTTAAATGTTCTTAGAGCACCATGTTTGTTTGTTTTTCTTTGGCAGCTGTGGTATAGTAGAAAGACAAAAGGACAAGTCAGAACTGGAAATGAATTCTGAGTCTGCCACTTAGCTGATTAGCCTTGGGCAAACCAGAAAGTGAAAAACTAAATTTTATCATCTATAAAATGGGGGCAATAATAAGTTTCTTTTATGGCAATCAAATGAGGTAATTGTGTTTAAACGAACTTTTAAAAAAAATATTTTATTTATTTATTTGAGAGAGAGAGAGAGAGAGAAAGAGAGTGAGAGCGAGCAGGAGCAAGGGGAAGGGAAGAGGGAGAGGGAGAAGCAGACTCTCCACTGAGCAGGGAGCCCGATGCAGGATTCTATCCCAGGACCCTGAGATCATGACCTGAGCCCAAGGCAGCTGTTTAACCGACAGAACCACCCAGGTGCCCTAAATGAACTTTTTAATCAACAAAGTATCATATTCTTTTTGGCCTAATAATAAAGCTACAAGGTTGTTCACAGTTGCTAGGTAAGGATTAGTTATGAAGTATGTAATAACTTAAGTTGTAATAATCAGCGAATAGTTAAGGCAGCATGTAAAATGCTTTAAAAATCTCTATAATCTGCCTTCACTCGACTCAATAAAACGATTGAACAGACTTTTCAATGTCTTTTAATGGTATATTAGAAGAAGAAACAGACAACATATTTCAAAAGCAAAAATAGGTATTTTGTTTTCTTACTCACTTGAATGGGTACTAAAGGGGTGACCCTTAACCAAATGAAGGTGCAGCATCAAAAATAACTGGCTATTTTCTCCAAATTGCCAGCTAAGTAGAGTGATTCTTAAATGATACTTCTTGTCAGCAAGAAAGATGATCCCAAGAATGAACAAAAATAGCCTCTGTTCAACAGCTGTGATATTTATAATTTATAAACTGTGATCATCTCTCATCAGATTGTCTTGCTGTCTAAACAAGAATGGATGTTTGCCATTTGTATATTTATCACTCTTCAGAAAACAAACTTTTATTATATCTTATTCTTTCTGATCAATGCATTTCTCTCTTCACATATAAACAGTATGGTAACAGGCTTCTTGTTTGAGGAACACGACTTTGGAACTCTAGTGTCACGTACAATGTTAAAGATATTCAACTAATCCTTAGACATTTATTTCCAATCAGCAAATACCTTTTAAGCACTGAAAGGCAACACTGAAGACCAGGATAACACGGAAGGAAGAAAGGGAAGGAGGGTGGGAGTGATAATCAATTCATTACTAAATTCTTGTCAGTCTTTAATACTCTGCCTGGGTGTCATGCTTCTAGTTCCTCTTACTGTTCTTCCCCCACTTCTATTTTTCTTTAATTCGTGCCCTTCTATTGCCCTTGCTCTTCACCATTCTCTTTGCGCCCTATGTATTTTATTTGCTTTGCTCGCTACATGGTTTCCCTCTTCATTTCTTTCACTACTTCCCTCTCCGGCAGCTCTACGACAAGCTTTTTCCGCACACTTTATACAAGCATGCGCTAAATTACAATTGAGCAAATCTCGTGACTGTGCTTTATTGGAGAACTTTGCGCAAATTAGAATTGAGAGCTCTGGAGGAGGGGGCTCTTGCATCCGCAAGGCAAGAGGACTGAGAATTATAAAATACGTGGAGGATAACTGAGAGAGCACAGAACTGTGTCCTCCCCGTGCCACGACCTGCATCAGAAATACCCCGCCCGTGACTCAAAAAACTTCCTGCAGCGCTCCGCAGACTGACCTTCGTTCGAGGCCCTTCCCCACCGCCGCCTCCCCGTGACTTCCCCTACACCCCCATTTTCGTCTTTACGTCCCTCCCTCCCCACACTCCGGGCCCATTTCTCTTCAAATTCGACTCCCACCTTGCACGCCGAGGTGCGGCCCCTCTCCGTTCCCTCCCCTCGGTTTCTGTCACAGCCCCCCCCCAAGCCCATCCCCGCGCCCGGCTCCCCCCACAGGTGAAGGGCCCGTCTCCTCGCCGCCCCCTTCCCGCCCCGCCCCCGCACACCTGGCGGCCCCCGGCCCTCCCCGGCCCTCCCCTCCCCCTCCGGCGCCCCGCCCGGCCCGCAGCCGCCGCCGCCGCTCGCGCCCGCACGCCCGCACGCCGCCGCCGCCCGCGCGCCGCGCCCGCCTTGCGCCCCTCGGCGCTTCGGGCCTCCCCCGCCCGACGCCCCCCCCCGCGGGCCCGCTGCACTGTGGGTAGGCGGCGGCCGCACTGAGGAGCCCGCGGCGGCGGCGGCGGCGGCGGCGGCGGCGGCCGCGCTCGCACGGAGGAGCCGGCGGCGGAGCGAGGCTGCGCGCGCCGAAGATGGCTGAGAAGCAGAAGCACGACGGGCGGGTGAAGATCGGACACTACGTGTTGGGCGACACGCTGGGCGTCGGCACCTTCGGCAAAGTGAAGAGTTGAGTACGCGCCCGAGGCCGCCGCGCGGGGCTGTCCGCTCGCGGGAGGCCGGGCCGAGCGGCGGGAGCCCGGCGCCCAGGGCCACGGGCGGGCCTGGCGGCAGGTGGCGCGGGCCCGGGAGCCCCGCGAGGGCGGCGGGGGGCGGCGGGGACGACGGGAGTCCCGGGGTCTGTCGGGCGCTCGCGGACCTCAGTGCCCGGGTCGGCGAAACCGGAGGTCGGACTGTTGGGCACGGTGCCTTCCCGCTGAGACGGTGTGGGCAGCACCGGGGAGTAACACCCGCTGCTGGTGATTGAGTTTCCAGCGCGCCAGGTGCCCTGCTGGGTGCTTTACGTGTGATCTCATTTAATCCTTACAGCGACTCGGTGCAGGTGTTGTCCTCACCTTGAAGGTGAGAAGACGCGGACCCCTGGAGGTTTGGGAACGTGCCCAAGGTCACACAGAAATTGGCAGAACCACGATGAAGTGTAAAATGTCTTCCAGTTCTGGCTAGGCCAGGGAGGTCCCTGCCCTCCGACTCCTTCGTGCGCCGGGACTCGGGCGGGGTTGGTGGGGCGCACGCTTTGGGGCGGGTTGCGGGGGCCTGGAGGTGGGGCCGTGAACGCAGAAGGCCGCTGCATGGGCTCAGGGCTTAATTAGAGCTGGAAGTCCGAGGGGTGCCTGACCAGTGGAAAGAAGCCTAGGAAGGCTTCTGGGCTGGGGGCAGGTTCCTTGGTGGTGGACCTTGGAGCGTGCGGGGCTGAGGATGCCGGAACTGCTAAGACGTGTTCTGCTGAGGTCTCTTTTCTTGGTGATGGGATCCCATTTGGGGTGTAGAAAAACAGGCTGCTTTTTTGAAATCGTTTTTAACTTGTTACTACTTAAGGATTGAACTTTCCTCCTTTTGCTGTTAATAGTCACATGGGATTTAATTTGTCCTCTCTCCTGAATTTATTAATGTTTTACGTTTGACTGTTATAAATTCAGAATTGTAAGTCAAACGTTAGCTTTTCTCTTTTCGCTGTAAAAATGTTGGGTAGGCAGTCTGGAGATTTTATCTCAGGCCTCTATTTCCTTGTAAAATACGTATTTTAACCTCAAGTCATGGGTGTTAAATAGGTAGAAGGAACTCGTTCATTCCTGTGGCAAAGATGAGCTCCTATTTACTTGCACATATCTGAAGCTCTTCTGTTCGGAAAGCCCTTACTGAGCACCTACACTGTGCTAGACACTGTTCTAGGCAATGGGGATACAATAAGGAACATAAACCAGATTAAAATCTCTCCAGTGGAGCGTATATTCCAGTAGGGGAACACAAAAAATAATCAGGATATATATGTAAAATACGTAGTATGTTTAGTGCTACTGAGAAGAATGAATCAGGGAAGGGAGAATGAGTTTTGTGAGGTTAACAATTTTCAATAAGGTGATGAGCACCTTATTGGTCTCACAGGCCTTATTGGTCTCCTTAAGGTCTCATAGGCAAGGTGGTATTTGTGTAAAGACCTGAAAAGTTTATAAAAATCTTTGAAGTCCTATGTGGGCCATAAGGTCCTGGGATATTTATGAAAGACTTTAAAGTAGAGTGGATAGCTAAGAGAATATATTTAGAATGAATATAGGAAGATCCAGGCATTAGGTTAATGCCTGAAAGGTTACCTGTCATTAAATATCATTACTGAGGACTGCTGTGTTACGATATTATACAGTTACTCAGGCAAACCGTGTCTTTGCCATCTGGGTATGTACACTCTCAAAATTATATAACTTACCCTACATCCTTTCAAATTGTGTTAAAATGTTTGTCTTTTTGAATTCTTCTGTACTCTGAATGTAGACTAAAACACCCATCAGATCAATTGGCTCATTGTCAAAGGACAACCTAAATCTCTTTTGTATATATTCTTGTGCTGCCTCCAGGCACTGGCTTCTTAAATATAAACCAATGGAAGGAACATTGGTTTATGAGAAATCCTTTTCCTGGAGGACCCAGTCTAATGGGCAACCAATCAGAGGGGTGTTTTTAACACTATGTTAGAGCCTCTCTAATGTTATGCTGTGATTTCCTATCCAGGGTTAGAATTAGTACCATTGTTCAATAAAAATGATGGAAGTTGCTACAGTTCAGTTATTTAATTCTTCAGGGGACAAGAAATAAAAGTGCATGTATTTTTCAAAGTAAAAATACACCTTTATTAAGGTATATTTTACATATTATTCACCCATTCCAAGTGTACAATTCAGTGATTTTTTTTTTTGTAACTTTACTGAATGATGCAACCGTCATTATAGGTGCAACCAACATCAATTTAAAAAAAATTATCGCCACAGTAAGATCCTTCATGCTCATTTACAGTTCATCTTTGTTCTCACCACCAACTTTAGGAAACCCTTAATCTGTTTTCTGTGTGTATAAACTTGTTTTCTCTGGATACTTCTGATAAATGGGATCATTCAATATGGAGTCTTTCATATTTCCTTTAACACTGTTTTTAGGTTTATAGATGAGATAGCATGTATCAATAGTTTATTCCTTTTTATTGCTGAATAATATTCCATTGCGTGGATATGCCACCTTTGTCTATACATTCACCAGTTGTTTTCGGTTTGGGGCTGTTAAAAATAATGCTACCACAAGTATTTGCATGCAAGACTTGGGGCACGTTTTCATGTATCTTGGTTAGGCACCGAGGAGAAGAATTGCTGGGTCCTATCATAGTTTCATGTTTAGCTTTTCGAGAAACTGCAAACTATTTTCAAAAGTGGTTGTACCATTTTGCAATCCTACCAACAGTGGATGAGGGTTCTCCCTTTCTCTGCATCCTCACCAGCATTTGTTGTAGTCTGTTTTAAAGGCATTCTAATGGGTGTGAAATGATGTCCCATTGTGGCTTTAATTTGCATTTCTTTAATGAGTAATGATATTGAACATCTTTAGGTAGTTATTAGTCATTCATATATCTTATTGGGTGAGATGTCTGTTCATATCTTTTGCTTATTTCATGAGCTGAATTACAAGAATTCTTTGTAAATTCTGGATTCGAGTCTCTTATTAGATGAAGTTTGTAAATATTTTCTCCCAGTCCGACTTTTCATTTTCTTAATGGTGTCTTTTGAAGTCTAAAAGTTATGAATTTTCATGAGGTCGAATTTATTGACTTTTTTTTTTTTTCTTCTTATGGACCTTGCTTTTGGTGTTATAGTCCAGAAATCTTTGCTTTAGGTTTCAAGGATTTTCTCTCATGTTGTCTTCTAAATATCTTCCAAATTTTATTGTTTTAGCCCTTACATTTAAGTATATGACCCATTTTGAGTTAATTTTTGAGTATGGTATAAGATGAGGTTTTAAGAGCAGCTTTTTGAATGAATATCCAATTGTCCCAGCACAGTTGAAATGTATATGTTGAAAACGCATGCACTTTTAACTGTTATATAATTTAGACTTTGTAAAGTTAATTTTTACTAAAAACAACTTAATAATAGATGATTTAGTTATATATATATGTATCTTAAGATTTTATTTATTTGTCAGAGAGAGAGAGACACAAGCAGGGGGGAGCGGCAACAGAGGGAGAAGCAGGCTCCCTGCTGAGCAAGGAGCCTAATGTGTGGGACTCTATCCCTGGGATCATGACCTGAGCCTAAGGCAGACACTTAACCAACTGAGCCACCCAGGCATCCCATAGATGATTTAGTTTTTTTTTTTTTTTTTTTTTTAAGATTTTATTTATTTAACAGAGAGAGACACAGCGAGAGAGGGAACACAGGCAGAGGGAGCGGGAGAGGGAGAAGCAGGCTTCCCGCCGAGCAGGGAGCCCGATGTGGGGCTCGATCCCAGGACCCTGAGATCATGACCCGAGCCGAAGGCAGACGCCCAACGACTGAGCCACTCAGGCGCCCCGATGATTTAGTTTTATATGGCTATAAAAACATGGAGATGGAGGAATGAATAGCATTTTTGCCTTTTCTCTTAACTGTTAGGCTAGTTGTAGATTTTGAAAAATTTAACTGCCCTTGTTGATGTACCAATTTATAGACTGAAGTTAGGTACAATAAGTGAAAATTCAGAGTGGCATAATTTTCATTTGATTGCATTCATTTCAAGTTATTTTTATTTTTATTATTTTTAAAGATTTTATTTGACACAGAGAGAGAGAACAAACTGGGGATAGTAGCAGAGGGAGCGGGGGAAGCAGGCTCCCCACTGAGCAAAGAGCTCAGATGCCAGGGCTTCATCCCAGGACCCCAGGATCATGACCTGAGCCAGAGGCAGATGCTTGACTGACTGAGCCACCCAGGTACCCCTCATTATTTTTAAAAATGTAGAAATCCTCTATTTGCTGTTAAATAATGAAAGGCTTATTTTAAATGTTTTAAACTGATTTTCTTCATTCTGTTGTTTTGTTAGATTACTGCGGAGTGCTATCAAAACAAATTATGGGGGCTAACAGAATTTAAAAGTAATGTTTTTTCTCTACTTAAATTTTTTGTCCACATTGATTTAGTTCATACTCTTTTCAGGGTGGGGTAGAACTGCTGTTTAAGAGCTCTTGTAATTAGACTTGTTCAATTCTTACCTAAATAGTAAAGGTGATAGAAATGCTAGAAGAATAGATTTGTTGCTTGTGTTATACAAAGACTGGTTCAAGAAAAATATACATAATATAATGCTAATTACTTATTTAAAAAGAAGCCTGCTTTTTCAAGGTGAGTACTGATAGGTTTGCTTTATGAAATATTTATTCTTCATCAGAATTGTACACCAGGGGATACTTTATAATCACACTAGCCTCTTTCTAGCCAGCAAAGTCTCACCAAGGAATTACCTTCTCTGTTTTTCAAATAGTTATTTGAATGACCCACAGAATTGGCTTTCAAGAAATTAAATATATATTTTACTAATTCCTCACTTATTTTTGAGATAACAGGAAAGATAAACAGATGGACTTTTTATTACAATAAACAGATGGACTTTTTATTACATTTTATTTTTTAAACAAGGAGTGTTACCTTCTTTGAAATGTAAATACCAAGTTCCAAATGATAAATTGGATTTTGGACAACTACCTGGTCAGTTGGTGGACCTGAATGTTGTACTGTGGCATATTGGGCCCTTGCTATGATTGTTTTTTTTTTTTTTCTTAAAGATTTTATTTATTTATTTGACAGAGAGAGAGAGATCACAAGTAGGCAGACAGGCAGAGGGAGAGGGAGAAGCACGCTCCCCGCTGAGCACAGAGCCCGATGTGGGGCTCGATCCCAGGACCCTGGGATCATGACCTGAGCCGAAGGCAGATGCTTAACCATCTGAGCCACCCAGGCATCCTGCTATGATTGTTTTTTGACTTCCATGTAGTGTCATGGTCCTGAATAAGACATTTAATGTCTCTGGGCCTTGTTTTTTTTTTTTTTTTTTCTCCTAAAGGAGAGCACTAGAACATGTAATGTATCAGGTCCTTTACAACTTTATCATTTAACTGATTTTTAAAAAGATTTAATTCCCCCAAATGGATATTTTTTAATTGTTCCTTCTAGATTAATGAAAATTTGAGTAACTGAAGATCAGAGCTGAAATGTCGATGTAATGCAGAACAAAAGAAAAGGGAAACACATTTGTAACACTTTAATGACAAAAGCTACAACTTGACTCAGTTTTTGTATTTTAAATACTATGTATTGCACTTGATTTTATGTATTCCCCAGAGTAACCCTGAGTTTGGTATTATCTCCATTTTACAAATGAAGAAATTGAGAATCTATACCTCAAGTGACTCGCCCAAGGTCACAGTACTAAGTGGCAGAATTGGCAATCATAACCAGGATTTTCTGACTCCAGAATCTGTGCTGTATGCAATGTAAAGTCAAAATGCATAGGGCGGTATCTTGAGTTTCAAATCTATAAGAAGGTAATCTTACATGTCTGTAGATATTTAGCAATAATTGAGAAAAAGATTTAAGTGTCTTTTTTTAGTTCACATTGAGATAGAATAAGTCCCCTCCCCCCCAGGAAAATCCATCATATACACGTGTGATTAAAATTTATATTTTCATGTTCCTAACTTTTATGCCTCAATTTATTTTCTTATATGGATGAATGTGCTGAATTCTAACAATTTTAACCCAAATTTCTTGGAAATACCAGGTAATTCTTTTTTTTTTTTTTCTTACTATGAAAGTAACCCTGACTAAAGATTACCAGTAACCTTTAGTAACCAGAGTAAAGAGATTTTACAAAAACGATTTGATGTCCAAGAAGGAACATATGGTGTAGGAAGGCATTAGCCCTGGATTTTAATTCCATTCCACTACGAGTTATATGGCTTTGGGAGAACTATTAAGCTTCTCTGAGCTTCTGTTTCCTCCTTTGTAAAATGGCAATAACAACACTTGGTCTTCCTACCTTCTAGAATTTTTATGAGGATTAAATTAGTCGAAGTACATAAAATGGCTTTAAGAATGATAAATTGCCATACAGATAAGTGGCAGTATTGTGGAGATAACTAGGTGCATGGCTGTTGTGAGTCAGTTCTGTACCATGTGTGAAGTGTTAACTGTTTGCTGTGTTTAGAAATGCCTTCAGTTCTGATAGACATTGAGACAGAGCTGTAATAATCTGCCACTGTGCTTTGGATGTGTGCATTGAAGAAAGCTCTAAATGACTTATTTTTGTTATGTGAAACTTAATTATTAGCTTTTTATTAAAATCCAGTAGTCCTTTTTGGATAAGTCATGTAATCCCCCCCCACAAATGTGAAAAATGAATAAAATAAGAATGAAAGGGAAGTAACAGTGAATGTTCATTTAAGTTACTAGCTGAATTGATTTACTTTTAAAATTATGCAAATTCTAAACAAGTGTTAAACAGTAGTTCCAAATAATAAAGTTATATTTCTTCTCACATACTAGAAGGTTAGTGTTGAATCAAAATCAATTCAATGATTCTCTCAAAAATTAGGTAAATATTCACTTATCTTGTCATCCATGTTACTTTTCCTTATTCTGCAGTATTTGTAATGGTGACCACTGCCCCATTTAGTCTTCCGAGATTCCTGTGGTTTCCTTGATGATAGGGAAAGTATTTTGTAGAGAAAGTAGTTAATTTTTTAAAGTCAAGCTGATAATTTAATCTGATTTACAGAAAATCTGATCACAAATCAAAAGTCTCTTAATACAGCCTTTTTTTTTTTTTTTTTTTTTTTTTGCTGACTTAAATATCCTTACGTGATTTCACATAGGTAATTTGGTCCTTAATTTCTGAATGGATTTTGTTCATTTTGTGTAATCAATTCACTGACTCTGAAAAGATACTTTCCCATAAGAAACAATGTTCTAAATGGGGGATAGGTTCAGGGTAAGTCCACAGGGACATCATGGTATATAGTACAAAGAAAACTGGATTTGGAAGACCTGGTGTGGAACTTTTGCTATGCTGTAAGCCAGCTGTGTGGCCTTAAATCAAAGACTCGATCTATAAAAAAGGAAATAATAACACATGTTCTCTTACACTGTTGTGAGAAAAACATGAAAAAAATATAGTTAGTACTCATAAGTACTTAACTCTTATGTAGTCTTATGTAATTAGGTCCTGTTATGTACTTTAACTCTCAATTGCTGAATTCTGAGAATAACCTGTGATCTAGTTCTGAGACCAAAATTTATTTAATGAGGGGGGGAGGCAGAGTTTACTATCTTCTTCTTCTTCTTCTTTTTTAAGATTTTATTTATTTATTTGACAGAGAGACACAGCGAGAGAGAGAACACAAGCTGGGGGAGTGGAAGAGGGAGAAGCAGGCTTCCCACTGAGCAGGGAGCCTCATGTGGGACTCAATCTCAGGACCCTGGGATCATGACCTGAGCCGAAGGCAGACGCTTAAGGACTGAGCCACCCAGGCGCCCCAAGAGTTTACTATCTTCTGTTTTTTGTTTTTCTCAGGTCTCCTTTTGCTGTATATTTCATTCTGATATGTTCAGAAAACTCAGTCTCTAGATACTGCTTACTGTCACCATCTCCTATACGCTACTCCCAATGCCTGTGTGTGAACGTGTAATTTATATTCCAGATCCTGTGGCAGGGATCACAGAGCTCTTGAAAGAAAGAGGCAAAAGTTAGGAGAAGGAAGAGAATATGAACAGCAGCTGGCAGTTTTTATTTATGGGATTTTTGAAGTTTGACCATATACCTCAATTACCTTAGTTCTTTGGACTTTGATCCGTTTCCCATGCTGACACAGCACTGCTCTATCTAGGGTTTTTTTTGTTTTGTAAAAACATGCCAAAATACTCACTTATCTTGTCATCCATGTTAGTTTCCCTTAAAGCATTTGGTAGTATTTGTAATGGTGACACTGCCCCACTTAGTCTTCGGAGATTCCTGTAGTTTCCTTGATGACAGGGAAAATATTTTGTAGAGAATGTAGTTAATTTTTTTAAGTCAAGCTGATAATTTAATTTGACCTCGCAGAAGATCTAATCTCAAATCCTCTAAGACATAATGAGTAAGTGGGTGGCACAAGACTCCTAAAATACTGAATATGTTATAAATAGAGCAAATCTACCTGGTATGTATTAGACACAAATATAAGAGCACCTTGAATCAGGTTGATTTTTATGGATTTTTATTTATCAGATGACTGAAATGTATATATAAAGCAATGTGTTTATTTTGAAATGTAGTGAACCATTTTATTTTTAGTATGGTGTATTAAGGAAAGAATTTCAGGCAGCTCTTATCTCTGCTAATAATAGAAACTTTTTCACCCCTTTAAGGGAACAGTATTCTTGCTTAAGTGCTCTCTTATGTTTAACCATGTTTGCCTTGCCTCTGATAAATTTTACCATATTTCTTTAGACGGTGCCTTTGTTTTTAAAGTGGTAATAATCCTTTTAATTTTGCCCTTAGATTTTTTTTAAACAAATTTTTATATGGTTAAAGAGATTATCCTGTCTTGCAATAAACGTGTCATTCTGAATGCCAGTGTGTTGACTTATATAGATGCTTTTTTCAGAATTTTTTCTTCATATTATTCATGTAATTTTATGTAGTATTAAAACATGAGTCATGTGTTCTCATTTAACATCACTCAACTCCTAAAGTATAAATTAGTTACAAGGTAGTTATAAAGCTGTCATAATTGAAAATCATGATTTAAAAATTTTAAATATACCATAAATTGTTTCCAAATTCTTACTTTGCTTGATAAATACCATAAATATTAGTTAATTTCATTTTCTTTTTAAATGTGCTTGAGTATGACTTGGCACTATAAAGTATTCCATAATTCACTTCTCCCAGACTTAGTTAATGAAATAATAAAAACCAATATATATTTAACATTTACTGTGTTTAGTCATGTTGGATTTAAAGCAAAATATTTTTACTTGTGGCAATGATACTACTACAGATGATTTACTAATTTAAAACAAAGTGGGAAGTAATCATCAAGAATTTACTTAAATGAGTCTTGTCCCACATTTGAATTCGAAGCCAAGTATATGATAAATCTACCTTTTAGTCAGATTTACACCAGGCTGTACTTAGTGCTCTACTAATTCACAGTTAGATAATGTAACAGGTATACTATATGCTGTAAACTTGATTTCAGCAAGAATTTGACTTTATGTCTTACAATAGCTTTGTGGATAAGATGAAGAAATGTGCTCTATATGGCTTATTGCTGCTGAATAACTATTCCCAAGGAAATTAGGTGTCATCCTAAAGGGAAATCTTGGACATTGACTCTAATAGTAAGGATAGTAATATTTCTTATTTGGGCTGGTACAAAGCTAGATGAGGTGATTAATAGACAAATTACAGAAGCAGAATTTAAATTTATATCAACTCTTGGATTGCTAGGCAAAACCCAAGAAGGTGAAATTTAATAGGGACAAGTGTCAAATCTAGCACTTAAGTTAAAAACAGAAAACAGGAGCATAAAAGTAAAACAGTTGATAGTAGTTCCTGAAATGCTGGAGTTTTAACTGACCACAAGCTTAGGAAGTATATGTTTTGAGTGCTTTAAATGTAAAAATTGTTGTTAGAATGGAAACAGATGTGTATTAATTGGTAGTTTTATAGGTAGCATAGTTCCTGCTGTACTTTGGATTAAGCTAAAGTTTGAATATTGAGTTCATTTCTTGTTGCTACAATTTGAAAAACTTAGCCAATTACATTTCATTCAGAGAATGACCAATAAGGGGAGCCCCAAAAGAATGCCATATGAGATAGGGTAAGGGAAACATTTTTTATACTATTAATTAGAACATGTATTTTAAGTGTGATAGCTGTTTTTAAATTGCTAAAGTACCATCATCTAGAAAAAGGCACCATATTCAGTGATGTTTTGAAGGATACAATGTGACCATTGGGTGAATATTTTAGGGAGGCAAATTATAATCCAGAATAATGAGGATCTTTTTACCAAGGAGCTTGTTTAAGAATGGTACAGCTGGGGAGCCTGGGTGGGTCAGTCGTTAAGCGTCTGCCTTCAGCTCAGGTCATGATCCCAGGGTCCTGGGATCGAGCCCTGCATTGGGCTTCCTGCTCCGCGGAAGCCTGCTTCTCCGTCTCCCACTCCCCCTGCTTGTGTTCCCTCTCTTGCTGTCTCTCTGTCAAATAAATAAATAAATAAAATCTTAAAAAAAAAAAATCATACAACTGGAGTGCCTGGGTGGCTCAGTTGGTTTAGTGTCTGCCTTCGGCTCAGGTCATGATCCCAGGGTCCTGGGATTGGGTCCCACATTGACCTTCCTGCTCAGTGAACAGTCTGCTTCTCCCTCTCGCTCTCCCTCTGTGCTCTCCCTCTCCCTCTGTCTTTCAAATAAATAAATCTTAAAAAAAAAAAAAAAAAAAAAGATGGCACAACTTGTACTCCAAATCAGTTAGATTTCTGTCATTGACATATTTACTTAGATTCTAGATGGTTATCAAAATTCTTATTACAAAATTTCAATTTCTTAAAAAAGATTTATTTATTTGAGAAAGAGTGCATGCGTACAAGCATGACTGGGGTGGAGGGCAGAGGGAGAAGGATAAGCAGACTCTCTGCTGAGCAGGGAGCCTGATGTGGGGCTCGATCCCAGGGCCTGGAGATCATGACCTGAGCCGAAGGCAGTTGCTTAACCAACTGAGATACCCTGGTGCCCCACAAAATTCCAATTTTGAATGGAAAGTTGGCATAAATAATTTATAAAGTATTTAACTTTAATATTCTATAATTGCCAAAATAGTTTTTCTAATGTGATTAATTTCCACACCTGCTATGACCTCGAACTTGTATTAAATCAACCTTGTAGTCAAGAACAATTAAAAAAAAAAAAAACAATTAAAAAACCTGTAGAAAATGTAAAAAATCTGTTTGAAGTCAGCCAGGACTTCGGTGGTCAGTATCTTCCAGTGAGAAGAAAAATGCACTGGAGTAAGTCTGTTATTTTGTTTGGCTTTTCTGTTTGAGCCATTTGCTAATTTGTCATTATGGTACAAGTAAGAAGCCAAACAACAATGGCTGAAAGGCAGAAAAGATAAGCAGAATTTGAGTCTTGGGGAGAAAGCTGTTGGAGTTCACAGCTTACTAAGGATGAGAGCTGCTAGTAAACAGTTGGGTGTCTGGTTGCAACCCTCTGAGGACTGAAATCCTTTTTAGAATCAGCTTAATTGCACACTTATTAAGGTGATCTGCCTCCTGTCTTTATTCTTTGGAGGAAAATCAAATCAGCTGGAGCTTCTACAGTTTTTTCATGTACAATGTTGAACATTCCAGGAGACAAGGCCAAGATAATAGAAACAGACTCATGGGTGATTCACATGTTAAAGTTACCAGACATGCACTTTAACTGTGATTAGTATGTTGAAGATGGAGAGTTTTAGCAGAGATGTGGAATCTCTAAAAAAAAAAAAACAAAGGGAATTCTTTGACTGGAACATATAATAATTGAGTTAGGACTCCATGGATGCTTTAACAGCAGATTAGATTCTGTTGAAGAAAGAATTGGTGAACTAGAAGATAGGTCAGAAGAAATATCCTGACTGAAGCATAGGGAGACAAAATGATAGAACGTGTAAGAGACCTATAGAAAAACAGTGAAAAGTCTAACATGTATTATTGGAACCTGTAGGTAAAAAGATCCTTGTAGGCTTAGGACTTTTTTTTTTCCTGTGGAAAGATGACCTCAGGTTTACCTTCTTTTGATATAGTTTCTCTTAACATATACCAAGATAAATGTGATTTCTCAGTTCTGTTACCGTAATACCAGTATTTATTTTGAAAACGACCTGTGACTATTGAATTACATCTGGACTGAGAGGTCTCCGAAGGGACATGTAATTCTCCAAGGAACTATATTATTACTTCATTGTTTCACCAGCATAAAACTTGTACAGAAAAAGGTATTCCAGCTTCCCTTTATGATGTCTCTTCTAACTCAATGCACCCCCTGTGGGAGGCTTAAAAGCTGCATGAATGGGCAGTTATTTGATGTGGTTACTGTTTGAGACATACAAATGCTGGAATAGATTGTATCCATTCATGTGAGTGTCATCCCCCACAACCTACTCTGTGTGTGTGATGTGGGGTTAGGGAAGCAGGGATTAGTTTTAAGAACCGACAAAGATGTGTTTGATTTGGCCTACTGATAAGCTGTGTTTCTAGTCCTAAATCTTTCTAAAAAAAACTAAGTAAAACTGGTGTTAGATCACTACCTATTGTGTCCTGTGAACATGAATGTTATTTTGAACCCAAGACTACTGATGATTATATAGAGTGGACACTATGCAGTTCCAGAGGGAGGAGAGAGGGAATGGGGCAGAAGCAGTATTTTTTAAGACATAATAGCAGAAAGTTTTCCAGAACTGATAAGCATGTCAAGCCACAGAGTCAGAGCTCTATGAACCCCAAGCTGAATAAATACAGGAAAATAATTCCTAGGTTCATCATTTGAAAACTGCTCAAAACTGGTTCCCTTTGCTTGAGGCTTTCCTATCCTGGAATGGACTGCATCTGTCTATGCAGAAATGAGAGAAGATGTTAAGAGAAAATCTTAAAAGTAGCCAGGAGATACCATCTTCAAAGGAACAATAAACCAATTTTCTCAACAAGCAAGGAAACAGTAGAATGATATCTTCAGAGAGGTGAAAGAAATGAACCACCAGCCTATAATTTTGTACCCAACAAAAATATCCTTCAAAAATAAAGGCAAAATATATTTCAGATAAGCATAATTTGAGAGAATTTGTCACCCGCAGACCCACAGTAAAGGGAGCATCAAAGGGGATTCTTTCAGGCAGAAAGAAAACGATGCTTTCCCAGATGGAAGCAGGAGGAAATGAAGAGCATTACAAAGGGCAAATATGTGGGTAACTATATAGATACTGACTATACAAAATAGTCTTGTGAGATATAAAATATAAGAATAAAATACAACAACAGAAAAAATGGGAGAGGAAACATAGAGCTAGTGTTCTGAAGTCATTGATTATCTAGGAAATGGTAAAGATACTAATTTATACTAGATTTCTGGTAAGCCGGAGATGCTTGTTGTAATCTCTAGGGTAACCACTGAAATAAAAACCTAAAGGCCCTAGAGATAAAAAGTAGTTTGGTTCTCATTTTGTTTTGGAATGCTAAGTCATTTACTTTTTTTTTTTCCAGAAGGTTCTAATGTATTTTTATTTATTTAGAATTGTGTAGAGTTTGTCATCTTTCTATCATATAATATACAGTAATATTCAAATACCTGATACTAACATAACTTACTGAATCAATTCTAATACTGAACACAGACTGTTAACAATAAAAACAAAACCAGTGAGTTTATCTTAGAAAATTTAAATTCAGGTCATTATTTCACAATCTGGAAATCTGAGTAATCCAACTTTACAATGATTTTCTCATTCCTGAAGTTTGCTCTGTCAATGTGTGATTTGGGACTTCCTCTTGTCTCAAGCCATTCCTGCATATGATGCACTTTGGAGATGGGACCTTGCAGTTGTCCTTGCACTGTGCCCTGGTCAGTGTTCTGGACCCAGCCAACCAATCCCAGCTTTTTACCCTCAGCCTGAGTGTACTTGTGGAAAAAGACCCCTTGGACCTTCCCAAAAATTTCATAATCCACTGATATCAGGGATATCACCTTCTGCCATGTTCATGCCCACACCCTCCTCGTCCTCCTCTCGGGCGCCTGTGACTACACCGGCGACCAGCACGCCGTCATTTACTTCGCTGTTTAAGTAAGCTCTACTGAAAAATACTTTAACATTTTTACAGTGTAAAGCCAGTATAAACGTAAGTTTTAAAAATGAAGCTGAATACAACATGTTATGTAATCACTTCTCAAACAGGTAAGCTGAAGAACAAGTCTTTGCCAAAAATTCACATCTTTAGGCTTTCCTGATCTATTTAAAATAGCACATTTTCCCACCTCCACCCTGTCACTCATACTGTATTTTCATCGTTCTCCATTATATTACCATTACATGTTTATTGTTTATATTCTCCACCTGAATGTAAGTTCCATTTATACCTGTTTTTTCAGCATTTGGAGGAATCCCTAGTACACTTAGGTACTCAGAAAATATTTGTCAAGTGAATGAATGAACAAATGGATGCTCAGACCAACAGGGTAAAAACAACTAGGAGAAAAAGATCTTCAAGGATATGGGTTTGTTCTCTCAATAAAAATAGAGTGCATGTTACATACTGTATTATGGGACGGTTTCAGTCCGTGTTTTATTTTCTTGACATTTGGCAGCTCTTGATGAATACCTTTAGTCTGTCTGATCCACAGCAAAGGCTACAGCCCTACTCCAGTCTGCATTTTGACTGAACACAGCAATTTTTCTTACTTGATTCTTCTCATCCTTTGTCCCTCCTTCCTTAGCCTATCGCTGTTAGGCTTCATCCCTTCAGGGCCCTAATTTCTCAACTCAAGTGCTGGAGATAAAAGGATTAACATGCAGTAAGCACTCCTGTTATAATCAAGAGAGGCTGGTTGTTGGGAGGTAAAATAGTGTGAATTTTGAGCTTGGGCACTGCAGGCAGGTATAGCATCTTGCCACTCACTGTTGTCTAATTCCTAATTTCTTCATCTGTAAACTGGGTGTAATAATATTTGTAGAGTTCCAGGAATTAAATAAGATATATAAAGCACTTAGTAGTACTTGTTTAATCAGTGGTAGATAAAAAGGAATAAAGTCTTTTTGC